TAAGAGCCCTCAACAACAAACAGATGTAGGGAAAATAAAAAAATATTGTTGGCATCAATTTTTGATATCATATGTGTAAGGTGTCCACATGACTAGCTCGAGATGATTCACGACTCATTCATAACATCACGTAGCTTAAGACACCCATCCGAAATGGGATCTATGATGATTCATCTTTACCAGAGAGAATCTGTCATTGAGTCGGGCCTACTTAGGACATTGAGCATGTTTGGTTCCCACTCTGGTGTTTAGAGGTCCATTTGTACCCATTCAGAGTCTCCCAGTGGCAAGAGAAGCCACGGAGCCCTCCTACACGCGTTATGGGAAAATTAATGTTCGGGACGCCCAATCTACATTGTAGTCCTGATTGCCCGTCGGTAATAAATTCTCCAATCAATGGACGATCAAAATACTCATTTTTGATGTTAGGGGATCGTAAGTTATTCATTTGTGGTCTCCCATCCTTCGGATCGAGAAAATCCTCTGTCAATTGCTCCTGGTGTGAACCAGGGTTTTCAGGGCTAAATCGGCGCCTAGGCGCTATGCACCAAAAATTCCTTTCTAGATGGTCAAAACCAAGTCCTTGGAAGTTTTTTTCTAGTTATTGACGCCTAAACGTCAGTCACGGGCCCTAGGCACCCTAACAACTCAAAATGGTCTTTTCCCGAGAGACGGGAAAGTAGGCTCCAACTGGGTGGCGCCTAGGAGCTAGAGGCTTGGCGCCATGGCGCCAAACTGGGCTCTTAGCTCCAAAGTCCTGCTCTTGGGCACTGTTCATTTTCAGGTCCCAAGAAAGCCTATTTCTAATGCTAATTTGATGGTGGTGCACCCCCTAAAGAGCTGGCATTGCAGAGTTCTTCTTGGGCTTGTGGAGATATGTAGGGGGGAGGGGGTGTTTTAAACCCGTGGGTTTAACCTCATTTGGCATGCCCTAAGTACCCTTAACTCTCATTATTAGCCTGATTGCAGACTCGTCGCCGGCGTCGGGGATGTCCCAATTCCCTAAGTTTGGACGGTGCGAACGTGCCACACTGGGTAATCGGCCTCACCATCTCCCAATTCAGAGGTAAAGCCGTCGCCGGCGTCGGGGATGTCGCCGCGGCGGCGGCGGTTCACGAGCACGGTGTAGTAGGTTAGGATGAGGAATAGGATGGCGGAGGAGACTGAGACGGTGGCGATGACGATGTTGGCGATAAGATGGTGGCCGGAAAAGGACTCTCGAGTTGAAAGAGGAGAGGGGAGAGGTGGAGGGGAGGGAGAGGTGGAGCAATCGTGCGTGCAAACGGTGGAGTGCTCCGATGTGGTGAGGCCGATTACCCAGTGTGGCACGTTCCCACTGAAACTTGAAGTGTTTGAGAGGGCAAGGGAGAACTCTTCTTCTTCCTTGAAGCTAGGGCTTCTTCTTGAAGGTCTTGAGTTGGAGAGCTTGGGGAAAAGGTGAGAGTGAGAGCTTCTACTTCCTCTTCCCTTTCTTCTTCCACAAGAAACTCTTTCTCCTATTTTCTTCCTCCTCTCCTTCATCTTTCTCTACCACTCCTTGAGTGTGTGAGGAGAGTTCCTTGAAGAGAAGGAGTTTGGCTAGCAAGGGAGAAAAATCACCAGAGCACCGTCCAAACTTTACCATAGCTCAAAACTTTGTCGGAGTCTCACCAGACTCTCCTTCTAGAGGAGAGCTTCTTTGTCCTTTAGAGGAGTAGAGGGGATCTCACTGGAGCTTTGCTGGAACGTGGACTTCTCTTCTACCATTATGAGAGCTTCCTCCTACTTAAAGAAATGTGTCTGGAACCTCTGCAGTGGTGAGATTTCTCTTAGTCCTTCATGTTTTCTTTCTTAGCTTGCCTAGAGGTTAGATTTACTATTGGTTGTGGGTTCCATCACCCACATGGAGCGAGTTGGTCGACCGACACTAGTCAGAACGACCACACGTCCTTGGATTATTCATTGATTTATTAGAGAAAGTCCTAGCTTATGAATCACATGCATGGCCAAATCTTTTGCGGAGCAAAGTGATTCTCATTGCAAACCTTAGACCAAAATCCTAGCGCATCGGAATCCCAATTTCCACTTGATTTGGCATTCCCAACCTTCCTTAGAGGGGTTTGGATGTTTGGATTCTACAAAGTGAGAAAACCTTTGTAGTTGGACCACCTTACAAAAATCATGAGGAGTTGTGAAATGGAAAAAACTTTGTAACTAGACAATTCAACAACTTAATGGAGAGTTTTCTATTTGGAGATCAGAAGATGAAGCTCCTCACACACCTTGCTGAAGTAGGAGGCGGATATGCTGCACATCCAAGTGCTAAACCCTACGTGCTAAAGCGAGTACGTTAGCGTGAGTATGGCTTGTTATAAAGCATGATCATTTGCTTGTATTGCGACATGTTGTGTCTTGCTAGAAGCATGTTGCATTTGCACATTGTCTTGACCAACCGCCTCTGCTCAGTTGACATAACACATTGCCTTGACCTGCCGCCCCGGCCTGGTCAACATAGCACATTTGCCTTAACCGACCTTCCAGACCAAGTTGGTATAACACATTGCCTTGACCGACCGCTCCGACCTGATCGACATAGCAAATTTGCCTTGTCTAATGGCCTGGACTCGATCGACATTGCACATTTGCCTCGACCGACAGCCTCATTACAGTCAACATAGCACCTTGGCTCAACCGATTGCCCCGACTCGATTGACCAGCCACTTTGGTTCAACCGGCCGCATTGGCCCAGTTGAACGATCACTCTGGTCCAATCGGCCAACATGGCCTGATCGACCGACCACTCTGATCCGACCGGCTAGACTAATCGCTCAGGTTTAGTCGGTCGCCCCGGCTGGTCAACTGTGTCGTGGAGGTACGCTCACCCTTTTGCATCCCTACCTTCATGACACACTCCTGTGGGTCGCTACCTCCACGACATGCCCGCTCCTGAGTCACTATCTCCATGACACACTCCGCAACACTTATATCACATGATTGTTCGCTTTTGCATTTGCATTTGCATGCATGCATGGATAGCAACCCATGCTCAATAGGCGAGTGACTATGTGTTGATCGTGATGTCTTAACGAGCATTACTTGCTAGGTTGACCCTACGAGCAGCGCGAGTTAATGCATAGAGATTAACACGAGTGTTACTGTGTTAAGGATACAAGAGATCTAACTCATTTCATCTTACATGTTACGGGCCCACATTTAATGACCCTCATTTTAAAACTAAAAACATTATATTTTACTATGTATTATATCCATCATAATTTTAAAATTATGCATATGGCAAACTAGGTCACATGTAAGACCAACTCCTTTCAAAATCCTTCCTGAGTGACATCTTTTAGATCCCTTGGATCTTTAAGACAGGACCGGTGTGGCGACCTCATCAAATTCATACGTACCCGAAGACTTATTCTGAGCACTTAGATACTGACGAAAATTACAAGCAACAAGGAAAGAATCATCATTATGAATGCAAACTTTCAATAAATTATGAGGGAAATAACATTAAGAAAATAAATCACTACGAGTCTTAAACTCATTAAGATAAAAAACATAATTATGATTAAGAAAATAAGAATATTATAAGTCTTAAGACCATCATTAAAGATTCTTCAAATATGCAAAGTAAAATTAATAAAGTAACATTTGCACCATATTAATATATAGCAATCACGAATAACAAAATTTTCATAAATTAAATGATAAATAATTTTATTAAAATAGACCCTAAGAAGACTTTCTGTTAAAAAAAAATCATTTTGCAATCAACACCAACAGGGATGTTGTAAATAAGATGCAAGCTGTGATTGGGTCTATTCCAATGTTGAGGAAAAACCCAATTACCATTAATTAAACCATCTTTAATTTTGATACTGTTGTGGAAATAAAACCAATTAAATACTGAATTCTCCAAAATCTCAAATAAATAAAAACCTTCAAGTCAAGGATCATAGAAACATAGAGGCTACTATTGCATTTTTTCTTAAGGATCATAGAAACATAGAGGCTACTATTGCATTTTTTTGAAATGAAATACATCTTCTAATTCTAGAAGCAACACACACAAACACACATATATGTTATGATTTAATTAAATTTAAGAGCGAATGTCATCCTGGATTAATTAATTTTTGGTCATTCTTAATGTCAATCTAAGGTTTTAAATATCTTTTAGTTTGACCCTTAGCATTTTAAATTTTTAATAATCATAATAATAATTATAAATATATATCTCTCTCTCGGATCTCTCGCTCTCGCTCTCTCTCTCCAGACGTGTGGACAGACAGAATAATTTACTTTATAGAGAAAAACAAACCTAGTTATTTTTCAACACTTTAAAACTCTTGTATCATTTTTTGTTGTTGTTAAACCTATCGCTGCTATCTATTTATATCATTAAAAAATATTTCTCTTGTATTGTTACATAACTTAAGATTGCAATTAAGATTTATTTAATAGATAAATAATATCATAATATCATAACTCAATGTTAAAATGATGCCACACTTTGATCAAATGCAAAATGATGAAGATGAAGTCAAATAGCTCACTACAGCGACAATCATTTCAAATTAGAGTGGTGAGGAAACCACTTCAAACACGATTAGGAGATGCAACGTAGCCAAATTGACGGTTGGTGCAATGTACATTGAAGACTGAATCAAACAAAAAAAGAGAGATATATATGCAAGTAGCAATAAACAATATTTAAACAATTGCTTTGAAACTTGAAGCACACAATTCTTTCGTATTTATCTATATCAGGCCTAACTTTCATATTAACATAAGTAACAATTTTGCATTTTAAACATATGCTAATGAAAACGATAGATTCCACTTATAAAAAATGATAAAAGTATTATTTTTTATGTGATATTAAATCATGTGAAAAACAAATATATTATCTCATTTTCCCAAAAAAAAAAAAAAAAAAAAAAAAAAACATCATAGTTATTTATTTAAAATTAAACACTGAATTCTACACTAACAAAAGTCTCATTTTCATGAAAAAAAAAATATTACGTCCGTCGTTCAGATGCGAGTACTAACATGATGGGCAACACAGTGCAATCCACGCCGTAGTCTGCACATTTTACCAACGTAATATTTTCATATTTTAATTTCAGAAAGCTGACTCCCAAACTTTAAACAACATATATAAATTTATTTTAGTTTCTTGTCACACCACACATATTTGCATGAAATCTTCATTACATTAATTTGGGGAATACTTATCAACGATGCTTATGAGGCATTGGCTGAGTTCATGTGGCTTAGAGAACATAGCCATATGATCAGCTCCTTTGATCTCCATTGTCTCTTTAACATCGCCATTCTCTTGAATCATCCAACGCTGATCTTCTTCATTCATTGCTGCATCTTCAGCGCAGATGATAAATATCTTATCGACAGATCCATAGCCTTCTTTTGTGAATGGTGGCATCTTTCTCAGATCTTCTAGGAAGTATGATGTAGTTCTCTGCTTCATACTTGCCATCGTCAAATCCTAGCCGTTCATCATAATTTCAATGGTTAAAACAGAGCTCATCTTTTATGTAAACATAATTGGAAGATTTACATCCATGCCACTCATTTCTTATGCATTTACATATCTAATGCAAATAGACAAAAATTGGGTGGTATGCATGCAAATGCGTTTGCATCATTCGTTTGACTTTACCTCAGAGGAGCAGTTTTGATAGAGGAAGGTGGCGAGAGCTTTGGAGTCGAAACAGAACGTGATCAACGGTTCTGATTTTCCGGGAACAATTACAGACTGGAACTGGATCTGTAGCTTTCGATTCGAAAGTTTTTGTAATTGCTGTAATTATACATGTGTATAGATATAAAACAAAATTAAACAAATATTAGTGAGGTTTTATTTGAGAAATATGTACTTTAAATTCAATGCAACTATCACATTAAATGAAAAAAATTATGATATCAGAAGTTTTGATGCAGTTTTGCTAATAAAAAAATAATAGACAGTGATAATTGTCTATACTGACAACAGTTGAGATTCGGCCATGCATGTCACTCTACATGGACTCTACATGATGGCATTGCCGAATTCCAGTCATTGTTTGTCGGCACGTCGACATCTAATATTTTCTTCTTATTAAGGTGACACAGAGCCGAGTTCACAATTGGGACATTTAAGGTGTCATTCCTAATCAGCTATTAAACTTTTATTCATTTATTTTTATAAAGGGGACATTTACATACATACATAATTCCTTTGTATTTATATATCTAGCACATAAACTTTACTTTTTAAATTTATATCACTCAAATCTTTCATATTAAATCAAAAGTACAATTAATTATTTTAACTTTTAAAAAATAACGCACACCTTTCCATGCATAAATAATGTGGTATACATGTTTGAAAAAATTGAAGTTTAGGCGTTTGATATGGAAGTACTTAACAATTGAATGATATGTTTGTAAATGTTGTTGTTTTTTATGCTTATTTGTTATCATTCTTTCGGGTTTATCAAAACGATTATGACTGATTTTTGTGTGGATTTGTAACCCTACTTCAATCGTCTCTTTTTTTTAATCCTCCATTGTTGATAGTGGAATATACCACATCGTGAACGTAGACTAATTTGTGTCGAATCACGTATATTGCACCATGTTTGATTGTTTGTTTGATGTTTGGTTTTGTTTTTAACATGGTTTTGCACAACAATTGATACCTGAGTCAGATCAGCGCGACTTCTATGACGTGCAGCTGCGATTCCGTTGAAGGCGCAGATGCAAGACAAACAGATCGAAGCAAGTTGAGTTACAACATCTGATAGAACCATGGATAATAACAAGTTGTCAAGTACTTCAACATCCCTCAAGACAATGAGAAAGGTAACATCCCATTGAGATCAATGTAATGAGATTTAACGATAAAAGAAAATTTGGTATGTAGTGATGTGATGCGATGGATGTGTCATGCTCTATGAATTTGAAAATAGTTCTTGATAGTGATCAACACCCTGAAGGGACATGAGAAAGAGATTGGTTGAAGATAAACCTAATTGTCTGTGACTTGGTGTAAAATTGCTTATCTCAAAAGATCAAAACTGAGATGATAATGGAAACTTTTGTAGGAAAATTACAGAAGATGCTAGAGAACAAATATCTTACGAAAAGCGCGGATAATCATCTCCAAATGAAGCATCGACTTTACATGATTTTAGATTAGAGATGGGGTTACTATTGATGAAGACTTGAATAATTTTACAAAGCTTTTGTCAAATCTATTAAATCTGGATAGGGAGGTTGGTGATGAAGACAAGTCACTTATTCTATTGAAGTCACTCCTGGATGAGTACAAAAATTTTACGAAGACACTCATTCATAAGTGAGGTCATGAATTATGATAAGGTAACTACGACGTTGTTGAATAATGTACTATATTGAAAGGATAAGGTGTTCACAAATATGAAGTTAGCTGATACACTTGCACTTCAAATTACAGATCTAAGAAGAAGAGAAACAAGACAAAGAAGGGTGGCAATGACGATACTATTCAAAATTAAGCAGCACAAGCCTTGTGAGCGCAGCCATGGGAATTATCAGTATGTTTTCTGCTTAGAAATTGGTCATTGGAAGAAAAAGCTGTCCAAAGTGACAACAAAAAGAAAAAAAAAGTTTTCTTTAACGCGAAAGCCAGTCTTATTGTGAAGATATGTGAAGAGACGAAATCAACTGTATCATGATATGTAGTTTCTCATAGTTTGTATACAAATGATTCATTTTGGATTTTGAACACATGTGCTACACATCACATTTGTCCCCATTAAGAGTGTTTCTATACATACAAAAAGTTTGATAACAGTGCATTAATCATGGGTGACAATGAAGCTTGTTATAGTATACATAAGGAGCGTCTTTACTATGATGAATGATGGTGCTGCGAGAAAGCTGACTGATATTAGACGTATTCTATATATCAAGAAAAATTTACTGTTAGCTGGGGCCTTTTAGACCAATGGCTACAAGGTAGTTATTGAAGTAAGACTTCTGAGAATATGTCGTAGAGTGCTAACTTTTTTGAAGGAAGTTTTTCATCACAACTTTCACCACTTTAGAGTATTACATTGGCTAGAACAATTGTTATTGCTAATGATTATTCTAACATCATTATATTATGACATATAAGACTTGCTTATGCTAAAGTTTTTTTCACTTAAAGCTTTGGTTAAAGGAGCAAATACCTAGAAGCTTAACTTTTGTGAATATTTTGTATTTAGCAAGAAGACACAAGTATCATTTATTACTACCATCCACAATACATATTGTATTTTAGAGTATGTTCAAACAGATTTTTATGCCCAATAAAGATGACATCATTCAATAGACAAAGATACATTATATCTTTTATTGAATATTACTACAAATATATTTGGTTGCACACCATGAAGTGTAAGAGCAAGATGCTAAAAATTTTCATTACTTGGAAGAAGTGGATTGCGAGTTAGAATGGTAAAGATAATAGAGCTGATTAGACAATGGGGGCGAACACATATCAAATGCTTCCTTTCAAGTGAAAAAAGTTGGGATAGAGCACAGCTTCACTATTTATGAGACACCACAATAGAACGGGGTGATAGAGAGGACGAACTGGACTTTGGTAGAGAAAGTTTGGTGTATATTATCCAATGCTAGGATAGATAAAGTCTACTGGGTCGAGGTCATAGACAATGCTTGTCACTTCGGGAGTCGTCTGTCTTCTACAGCCATTGGGAAGAAGACCATAAAAGAGATGTAGAAGAAGCATCCTGCTAGAGATTATGAACACATGAGGGTGGGTGTCAAGTTTATCACCATGTGTAGAATGATAAACTGAAATCATGAGAAGAAAAGGTAATCTTCGTTGGCTTTAAGCATGAAGTCAGGGATTCCAACTCTATGATTAGATATGGAAGAATATTGTTGTTAGCAGGAGAGCTTGTTGAAGCTTAGAGAATCAAAGCAGGTGCATAGTTCTATTAGGACTACATTTATGTAGTAGAAGTTGAAGTTTAATGCAACTTCATTTGCTCCATAGAGTTTGTGATCCTACCCGGGTACTTGATAATGCAATTGTAGCTCATGAGGTATCTATTGATAGTTCTTAAGAAAAGTTGGAAAAAGATACTGAGGATGAGGCCACCCTACAGAGGAATATATTGCTAAGATCAAGACCAACAGTCATAATATCCCAAAAAGTAACTTGGATGAGGGATCAAATTGCATTTGTACTTTCGACCATGGAGGCTGAAATTTTTTATCACTACGAGGAAGTATTAGAGAGCTCAGATAGTGATCTTTAAAAAGGGCCAATAAATGATGAGATAAAGTATCTTTAGAAGAATTCGATTGGAGGTAGGTTAAGCTTTCTCCAGGAAAAAATGTCATTGCGTGCAAATGGGTGTATGCAAAGAAGAAATGATCTTATGAAGCTAATGTGTGGTACAATACAATGTTAGTGGAAAAAAAGTTTGCACAATGAGAATGAATTGATTATGATGAGGTGTTATCACAGTGTTCAAGAATACCTTGATTTGTGTTCTTTTAGCATTTATAGTACATTATAGTATGATTTTAGAGCAATCTAATGTGAAGACTAAATTTTTATATGGGGTATTGTAATAAGAGATTTATATGTTTACCCGCATGGATATAGAGTCTTAAAAGAATTTATTTCAAAAGACTTAGTTGACAGACCGGACAAGCCTTAAGCCGTAGTCACCACAATAGTGGTATAAGATGTTTGATTAGTCCATGACAAACCACGGGTACACGAGGAGCCAATAAGATCATTGGGCATATTTTAAAAAATTGGTCAATAGTGAGTTCATCTACTAGCTTCTATATATTGATGATATGTTGATTTCATTTGCTAGTCAGATTGAGATTGATAGGATGAAGAAAAAATTGTCTAGATATTTTGAGACGAAAGAGTTGGGTGAAAATCATAGAATTCATAGCATGAAAATTCTCGAGAAGAAGGTAGATGGAAAAGTTTGGCTCTCACAAAGAGCATGTATTGGGAATGCACTAAAAATGTTTGGGGCTCATGAAAAAATTGTTTAGTTATTCTGAGATGAAAGAGTTGGGTGAAAATCATAGAATTCTTAGCATGAAGATTCCCAAGAAAAATGTATGAAAAAGTTTGGCTCTCACAAAGAGCATATATTGGGAATGCACTAAAATTTTGGGGTTCTTGACTCGAGCAAGGCGATGAGTCTAACTATTGCATCTCACTTTCAGTTGAGTTTAGATCAATGTCCTAATAATGATAAGAAGAGAAAAGTTATGCAATCAATTTCATATGCTAGTGTAATGGGAAGTTTGATGAATGTCATGATTTGTATTAGGTCTGACTTTATATAAGTAGTTTGTGTTGTGAGCATATTCATGCATGATCTAGGATATAGTCATTAAGAAATTGTGAAGATTATTCTGAGTTATCTGAAGGGAACAGTTGATATTAGCTTGTTGTTTGAGAGTTATGTGAATGTTACACTGATTCAAATTATGCAAGCGATGTAGATAGGTGTTGGTCTACGATGGTTTACTTATCCATATTGACAGAAGATCCAATCAGTTAGAGATCAGTTCTTCGGTTTACTTTTGCTTTGTCTACTATGTATGTTGAGTACATGATAGTCACAGAGGGGATGAAGGAAGTGATATGGATGCATTGCCTATTAGATGACTTTAGAGTTGACCGAGAGTCTATGATAGTATTAAGTGATAGTTGAAGTGCAACATTATCGGTCATGAATCCAATTTATGTCAATACAAAACACATTAATATCAGATACCATTTTGTTCTAGACTTAATTGATGACATCAATGTTCTGTTGAATAAGATAGATACAAAGGAGAATCCAACAAACATGCTCACAAATGTATTACTAGTCCACATACTATAAAATTTGGTGAACATCTGAATTGATAATTGATTGTAAATTCTGACATTTTGATGTTGTCATTTTGACGTTGGAGCTCATTTTGATTATCTCTCACTTATCTGGAATTGAGAGATGAGGTGGAGATAGTCTTATTTGAAACTTATTTATAAAAAGAGGGTAAATAGGAAAATTTATATCTTATCTTAATATGCCATTATCCTCTCTTATTTATAGAAGTAATTTTGACTAATTTTTATGTGTGGAGTTACAATACTATTTCAGCTTCTTTTCTTTCTCCACACCCGTTGTCACAAGAATAACTCCTCTCTGAACATAGGCGGATTTGCACCGAACCACGTAAATCACATCATATTTGATTGGCTGTTTGTCACGTGTTTATTTTTTCCGCAATATTTTGCACATCAAATCTTTCTTTTTTTAATTTAATTTAGAGTTGGGGAGGGGGCAGTTCAATTAGTTTGCACATTTGTATTGTAATGAAAAGGGTATCAATAAAGAATATCTTTCGTTTAGCATGTGAGGCTGTTTTTTCATGTTTCTTTGCACTTCTGTTTTATTATAGAATTCTATAACGTGGATTTGGCTTGTTGCAGATTTGCAGTATCACTGAGGGTTCTGGGCTAAAATGATGGAGAAATTACTATTGATAGATTATTGTCAATAATAAATATTATAGGAGATTAACCCTAATTAATTAACTTTACCCAATTACCCCCTCATGATAGTTGTAAGCTTATCCAATTAATTAAATTCAAAACGGATTAAATTTTAATTTTAATCACTGATGAAGCTTATTAACGCTGAATAAATATTAATCTATTAAAACTAAAGAAATAAAATTATAATTAGTTTGAAGGTGTCGATTTATTTATTAATTGTTCGTATATATTTATTTGTTAGTTTTTTAATTATCTTTTGAGTGTGTGTGTTTATGTTTTTTTGTCTTTGTTAAAATTTATTTATTTATTTAATAAATTTGCCTTCCCTAAAAATATATTTTTTTTTATGTGTATGTATCTATGCATGTGTATATAATATGATTATAAGAATCATCATTGATGAACCACCAACAAATTTTCATCAATGATTTGCTAATTTGCTAATAAGAATATATGCATGTAATGATTTCATAAACATGTTTATCAGATTCATAACATGGTAAATCATAGCATCGTAGATGACAAATCAAGTTTGCATTCATATAGTCAATGTAAGTACTCATCCACAATATACAGAAAAATATTAATTCACGTAAAAAATTAAATATGTGTATATAATCTTTTGAGCAAGAAAAGTTCGAACTTCAATTAAGAGTCATTCAGCGCAACGATTTCAGTAAACTTATAGTCAAACTGACCGGTTTGACGAGACGAACCCAATGATATCAAAATTAGCCCAATCCGAGACAAATCAAACTCAGATCAAGTCATTCAACCACACTTGAAAGTTTTTTGAACAAATTTAAAAGGTCAAACGAATGCCAAATCTAGCAAGCCTATAGTCGAATTGAGCATATCGACAAGAGGAATCCAGTGACCCAGAGATTGCTCAATAATGACATCGTTAAGACACTCAAATGTCTATCAAACACTGTTTGATCAAAAGCTTTCTGAATCGTCTTATCAAAGCGGTTCATATACCTACATCAATTACACCAAGAACATTATAAACAGAGTCTCACCCTCTCATGAGCAGTGATGAGAACTTAAGGCTTGAGAAAAAAATTGAAGCTTTGAGAAAGGGCTGAAGTTCATCACCACTCCTGCCATCATCAATCGCCGTCGATCGTCATTGACAACCCTACCACCGTTGACCATTGATGTTCGCCGACGATCAACGTTGACTGTCAACCATCGCCAACTGTAGTTGATCACTGTCAACCGCCATAAACCACCATTGATAGCCGCCGACCACCACTGACCGCCATCGATCACCGCTGTCCGTCATCGACCACCACCTGCCGGCCTCCACTGATCGTCATCGACCTTCGTCCACTTCTACAACGAGTTTATTCGCACGTCGGCATCGTAATTCAAAAAACTTTGTAACATTTTTCCGTCTGTGAGACAACGGTCTCTGTAATCATCGGCTTACAGTGGATTTTTATAACTGGGCCAGACCCCGTAATTTTTTTTTTACGTGTTTTTCACGTAAAAGCTTCAGGTGTCACTACTGGTTATTTTTTTACCTGAGTATGTGTTAAATTCTCGTAAAATGCTAGACATTAAACCATTATTCTACCGTCGTAAATTTTCTAGCACACACCAATCATAAAAGGCAAAAAAAAAATTCCTTTCATAAAAACAGAAGTTTTATAAGAAAAAAATATTCATGAAGAAATTTATTTTGAATTATATGATAAAATAGTAAAGCAATAAGACATAAACTGCTATAACTTGACAACATAATTTACTCCATGTCATATCTTTGTCTTTTGGAAGTTGAACTCTAATAAATTATTAGGTCCGGAAGTAATCTAATAATTTCTCCTCAGCCACAGCACTTCACTGCCCAGTTTCTTATAGATATTTTTTTAAGAAAATAATGAAAAATCATTAACAGCACTGAATAATATAACCTGCTCGACAAGATAAGAAGGATCATGAAGAGTATCAGGCAAAAATGCAGTGAGGAAGACAGCAGCAGCGATCTTGTCAGGAAAGGCATCCATGGCGAAAGCCAAACAGATGCCCCCGAAGCTATGTCCGACCAGAATCACTTTCTCCCCATCTGGAACTGTAGACATAAACTCCATTAACGGCCTGTTGTAATCCTCAAAGGTCCGAACATCTTCAGGAATTCTTCTCGGATCATCTCCAGAAGCAGCGAGATCTATAGCCGTCACTGAATTATATCCCATAGATTGAAGCTCATCCACCACCTTATGCCAACACCAAGCTCCATGGCCAGATCCATGAACTAGAATAACGCTGAACGATTCTTTATTCATTTTTTTTTTTTTTTCTTTTTGCTCTTCGTTGGAACTTCGTTGGAACTTTCAAGCTCAAGTATGGAATTTCATCATAATTGTAAATTTGTAGTAAATATATACATGTAATAAATTAGTGCTTACCTAATGGGTGGATTTTTGTCATTAAGTGCCACTTGGTCTAAAATATCTAAGCTGGCCGAAAGTAAAAAAAAAGGTGGTTTCATTGACGATTTAAATGCTTTTGCAGTTTCCACATTTAATCATTATTAAAAGACAAGTGAGGTGAGGATGTGTGCATCTAGGAGGAGTCGGTGCAGATATCACAGAAATCCAACGATTCAGATTAAGAAAGCATGATTAAGGGACTAGTCGAATCAGGCGAGCCAAACCGACCAAGTCAAAAAAACAGTGAGGATGGGCGACTGGCAAGAACCAAGCAGTTCATGCAAAAACTCATCAAGAGAGTGTCCGTGTCTCAAACCAAGAGAAAGTCGACTAGACGCAGAAGTTTATCATGCAAGCGAGCCGATCCGATGAAAGGGTTATCTTCACAGAGCAACTTCGACCATCCAACAGAGACAAAAAAGATTTCTCACTAGAAGTAGGATTTTTGAGCCCACCTGGTTCGACCTAGTGAGCCAAGCCGATCTAGCCCTACAGACAGATAATCAACCGTGCTCAGCCGACCGTTAGAAATGACCGAATGATAAGTTGACGCTTATAAAAAACCCAAAATACTTAGTGTAAATCTAATCCAGATGGGAGCAAAAATGTAATATCACTATTGTACTTAATCTTCTACAAATAGAGAAAACGTTTATTCCAGAAGGGCCCCTCTCTATGTGATTTTTATTGTTCATTCTTGGGATTATAGCTCCATTCTCTCTCTCCCCCTAAATTTCTACTCTTCTCTCACACTCTACTCCTTCAGTGTAATTTACGTACAAATTTGAATTCAACATCGTAAAATGTGTCTTGAGTGTAGATCATGCTATAAACAAGAAGAGAAGCAAACCAATGAGAAGAACCTAATAACGGGTAGAACAACAACAATATGTATTACATTCGAGAATTTGTGATTCAATAAATCCAAGATCTGAAGGATCAAATGTTAGAGCTAGATGATCGGAGTCGTGTTGACTAGGATCAACAACACCCCGACATGATTCTTTGGAGCTGAAACCACACGACCTTGGAGCGGGAGAACAATACATTGCTCCTCGATAAAGCTAAGTCGCCACCAATCAATCGTGGTCTCTTTGGGTTTATCGAAGCATCGTGCGGGCCAGAGAATGTATTCTCTTGAGAAATTCTTAAGTCGAGCCACCAAGACAATCTAATATTTCAAATTTATGATCCCATTAATTAAAGATAACCAATCACATCCCTTTACTTTTTACTTGTTTAAATTCATGTGAAAATTCTAACCAAATGTATAATCCCAGATTCAACAGATATTCAGGGGAATTGTTTGAATTTCACTCAAAGAGTCATCGAGGATGGTCGACACTCAAGGAATAGAATTAGGCAATGTGCTCCATTAAACTGCTTGAACTGTGAAGAGACAACCCCGGAGGATATGGTATGTACTCATAAGCCTCAGTGTAAGGTCAAACTCTCCGCAATACGGCCTCTCCTTGCTGAGCTGCTAAGCGAGCCTTAACTTTCGCTCTACCAAGGATTGTAAGTGTAAGTTGGAAGGTGCCCGCTCATGTTAGGCAGCATCGGAGGAAATGGCGTGAACATACCTTGTAGGTTCAGGTAGCACAACTAACGTCACCAAACGTGTCTCAACCTCAGTCAGAGGTGAGACTATGTCAGACCCAGCCCAGTCTGCTTGTAATGCTGCTATCTAAGCAGTAAGAAGGGCTATTTGACACTGTAGAAGGGCGATAGTTTGATCGCTGGTGTGCTTCCCTTGATTAATCACAGGGACATCTTGAGTCTCTGCGGGCTAGTCTAACGTAGTGTCCTAACACAACATCCAAGTGAGTGCAAGGTTATGCCAGAAGACTGATGTACGTTTTTATGGGGTCGCCGTCTCCGACCCCATCCTAATGATCCATGGATTCTAAGAAGTGTCACTAGATGTAGGTTTTGTAAAACTTTAAGTTTTAAAAAGGCTGACCTTACCTATGGTCTTAGGTAGGGATGCATATAATTTCAAAGTAAATTTTGAAAAATATGATGCATACATAATAGGAAATTTTGAGTTTTTATATTTTAAAATAGTTCATAGGAAATGAAAGCCTAAGTGACATCTATTAGACCCATTGGAATCTTAGAACAACAAACGTGTGCTAGTCACAATACGATGATGAATATTGCCGACCAAGACATTCTCGTGGGCAATACTAGCTGGTGCATCGTGACCAACAAAGATTCATTTAACTAACGAGCTAGTTTCATCATTGAGACAATCGGGAATGCACATGGAGATTCAAGGTGATCCAATGTAGTACAATCAACTTATCAGGGTAGGAGCGATCAAAAGATAGCAAACATACGTCACAAGTATATGGGAGCATATACTAATGATGAATGTGCTGACTATGCGGAGTGGTGCATGCAAATGCAGTACAAGTGGAGGCGAGTGTGCCGAGGAGACAATGACTCGGGATTTAGTGTGCCGAGAAGGCAGTGACTCAAAGAATGAGTGTGTTGAGGAGGCAGTAAGTTGGGATTAAGTATGTTAAGGAGGCAGTGACTCGGGATTCTGTGTGTCAAGAAACAGTGACTCAAAGAATGAGTGTGTCAAGAAGACAGTGGCACGTGATTGAGTGTGTCGAGGAAACAATGACTCAGAGAATGAGTGTGTAGAGGAGACAGTGACTCATAAGAATGACATGTGGATGTTGGGATGAGTGTGGTCCTCATTAGGGGAGAACCACGCCATGGGTAGGCTTAGTATACAAGCCTTCCACACGGAGGACACGAGGGTGTTGAAGGATGAGTGTGCAAGAGCAGTGACTCGAGTGCAAACCACAAACATATGAAATGCAAACCGACATTATGCTATGCAGACAGACATACAAAGGTGAATAAGTGTAAATGCAAACACAAATGTCAAGGAATGGGAACTAAGTGTTGTGCCCAAGTAGGGTGTAGATGCACCGCGAGCATATGGGGGCAAGTGCTCGCATGTGCACAAAGGGGTGCAAGAGTGAATGTGTTCATGCAAGCAATACAAAACGAGCATGCAATCATACATCATTCAAGTGGAGTCAATCAATATGATCGAAACGATGGAGGTCAATTGTTCGAGTCGAAGAAAAGTAGTCAATTGGACCGACTTGGGAGACCGATCAACAAAAAAGGGTTGATTGGATTGTTCGAACTGGTGGTGTTCGATTGGTCAAGCCGACGATGGTGGTCGATCTGATTGATCAGGCCAGTGGCGGCTAATCGACAGGGATGGGCCGGTCAAAACGATCAAACCGGTGGCAGTTGATTGGTCTGGCCGACAAAGGTGGTCTATCATATCGTCCTGGGCAGTTGATCGACGAGAAAAGATCGGTCGAAACGATCAGATTGATGGCAGTCAATCGACAAGGCTGACGGAGGTGGTCAATCGATCCGATGTGAACGACTGATTGACGATGCATGCAAAAATACGATATTTTGATGCAATTTTAACATTCATGCCAATCATACAAAAATGAATGTAAATACATGCATGAAATAGATATCAAACCGGCTCATCCTAAAGAACTCACGAGAAACATAGGGTAAGTGAGCAATGGAAAAGTTTACCAACGCCTTATTGAGCGAAGCAACAAGACGCCCACCTCCATTTGCACGACACAAGGTGGGGAATCTCTCACGAGGAAGATTCACTATGACGGAGAAGGTTCTACAATACAAAGCTTTAGCTACTGCAACTACCGAAATAATATAGATCAGAGGACTTCTATAAGAATTAATAGATCAACAAATTCCCAAAACTATTGTTTACAGTGACAGTTTCTCTGCTACTCGCTCATAATTCTATTTTCCGCACCAGAATAAAATATGTCGAAGTGAACTGCAACTTTATAAGAGATCACATAAAACACAAATAGATTCATCTAAAGCATGTTCTCACTGAAGCTCAAGATGCCAACAAGTTCATGAAGCCGCTACCTATCAAAAGACATCAAGACCAAACTTTCAATCTGACGATCTGAAGCCCAAATCATCAGCTTGAAGGTGATCAAACATCTTCGATAGATTCAGTTGTAATCTAATGGTTTTGATTAATTATTGCCTGTTGTGGCTCGAGTATAAGTGAGTGGTTTGGATTTTGGTTGATTTGCTGTTAATTATGTTATCATGACAACATAATTACATATATAGCTTAATGAAATTATCTTGCTGTGAATTGAAGTCCTATAATTGCATATAGATTATGAAATTCAAGTTTAAGAAGCAAAACTCCTCCAGCTATTTAACAGAAGCTAATAACTATTGGCTAAATAGTAATCGTTGCCTTAATATAAATGGCTTCTTTCAACTCAATGCTGTAGAGTTATGTTAAATGAAACTAAAAAACCATTCATTAAGTTATCTTTTTTGCATTTAATTATTTTATGCTGACATATATATTCAATAATTTATATTATTATTTTATTTTATAGAGTTATCATTTCAAAATTATAAAAAAATTAAAAAATTGGCCAATAATAAAAACCAATCAATTTCTTTGCTCGTTACTTGTAGATTTTAACCAATCAGTAGTTTACAATTTTTAGAGTTTAATATATTTTTTGGAAAAAAAATTATTTATTTTATCAGGGTTTTAACCACAGAAAATTTTCTTTAAAATTTAACAAAGTCATCAACAATTACAGAGGAGATAAATGAACAAAATTTAAGAACAAATTAGTCTAATATAATATACTTTGGAACATGAATCATTAACAAATTAAAGGATTGATTTGCAAAATCTGTATTCGGATCAGGGATTAGGCTTAAGCCACACATAAATTTATTCATAATGAAGACACATGATCAGTTTTTATTTGAGTTCACTGTCGATCAATAATTAGAGATTTGCATGAAATCTTCAATATTTAGTTCCCTCTGAGAAAATTTATAAAATGGAATATATGTCAACAATGCTTGCAAGGAGTTGGCAGAGTTCACGTGGCTTAGACAGCATAGGCATATGATCAGCTCCTTCGATCTCTATTGTCTCTTTAACATTGCCGTTGTTCTGAATCATCCAACGCACAAAATCCTCTTTGATTAGTGCATCTTCATTGCATATAATACATATCTTATCCACAGATCCAAAGCCCTCTTTTGTAAATGGCGAACAGTTGCTCAGATCTTCGCTGAAGTTTAACGTAGGCCTCAACATCATGCTTGCCAGACTCAAATCCTAGCCATTCATCACAAACTTTTGATGGGTTAATGTGTAAAACAGAGACCATTTTATATTAAATTTGTACTAATTAATTTTCATATTACCTCAAAGGAGCAGTTTTGATAAACGTAGGTGGCAAGAACATTGGAATCGAAGCACGCTGTGAGAAAAGGTTCTGATTTTCCGGTAATGACGACTGGCTTTATCTCAAGTTCTATCTTTCGATTGGAAAGCTGTTGAAGTTGCTGTAATTATATGTTTAAGAGAATTAAATAAATGTAAAAGATACCATAACTTTTTCTATGAAAAAATACAAATTATTTTTAAATCATTCAAATTTATATGGAAATATGAAAAAGTTTTTGGGTTTGTGGAGCCTGAAACACTCATGATAGTTTGGAAGAGCATCGCAATCAAGGAGGAAGCAAACTGCAGGCTTGCTCGCTGCCTATGGACCGAGGGCCTGCCTGACGGGACCATGCCCATAAGTGGCCCACACCTGGGAAAAAATTTGCATACGTCAAGGGGTACGCAGAGATGCGTACATAATAGGGTACACGGGCGTTATATGAGGGTTACATGGGGGTTACAAGCGTGTTATAACTTCCTTGTAACTCTCGTGTAACTCGGTTGTAACCCGAGTTTTTATTTTATCCATTGAGATTACAAGGTTACAGCGGGATTACACGGGAGTTACACGGGAGGTTACATGGGAGTTTCACGGGAGGTACAACGGGTTATAACCCCCTTATAATCTCGGTATAAACCCCGTGTACCCTATTATGTACGCATCTCTGCATACCCCTTGACGTACGCAAATTTTTTCCCCACGCCTGGGTATGCAAAGTGCACAACATACATGTGCCACTTCAATTCAGTTTAAAGTCGTCAGTCCAAGTGACGAAGTGGCTAATCTCCGCACGCGCGTTTCTTCCACAATAAGGGCATAAGAGGAGAATTTCAGCCTGTTTTCTCTTGTGGGATTGAAAGAAAGGATTTGTAGTGAAACTCTTTAAGTTTCATTGCTTATAAACTTATAAATAGAACATTTGAGTCAATTCTCCGTGCTGTTATAACGAATATTTGTTCATTGGTATAACTGTGATTTTTTCTTAATACCTTAAAAATGAAAATAAATTAAATCCAATAACATAATTAGATATTAATATTACCTGATCGATAAAATAGAAAGGTTGATGAAGAGTATCAGGCAAAAGTGCATTGACGAAAATAGCAGCAGCGATCTTTTCAGGAAAGGCATCCATGGCGAAAGCCAAACTGAGGCCCCCGAAGCTATGACCCACCAGAATGACTTTCTCTCCATCTGGAACTGTTGACATAAACTCCATTAACGGCCTGTTATAATCCTTAAAGGTCCGAACATCTTCAGGAATTCTTCTCGAATCAGCTCCAGAAGCAGCGAGATCAATAGCTGTCACTGAATTATATCCCTTAGATTGAAGCTCAGCCAGCAGCTTATACCAACACCAAGCTCCATGGCAAGATCCATGAATTAGGATAACTCTTAAAGCTTCTTTACTCATTTCTTCTTTTCGCTCTTTGCTTAGTAGTTTCAAGCATGCACATCTGTAATTATTTCCTTGTCATGCTTGTAATCTACGGTATATTAATAATCAGGAAGATCAAAAAAACAAAGGTGACCTCATAGATGATTTAATGTTTTTTGAACTGTGGAAAAATAATGTGCCGGCAACATGAATGACCAGATTGTTGATGATGAAACAAAAACAAGAGTTTTTAGGAGACTGGAGATTTCATAGTTTCCACATTTAATCATTATTAAAATACAAGTGAGGATGTGCACATCAAGAAAGAGTCGGTGCAAATATCACAACGATCCAACAATTCAAATTAAGAAAGTAAGATGAAGGAAGACCTCCCACAAAGAGATCAAGGGACCAGTCGAATCAAGCGAGCCAAACCAACCAAGTCAAAAACAATGTGAGGGTGGTCGACCCGTACCACCCAAGTAACTCACCCAAAAGCTCATTAGGAGAGTGTTTGTATCTCAAATCAAAAGAAAGTCGACTCGATGCGGAAGTTTATCCTACAGGCGAGCTGACTTGATGAAAGGTTTATTTTCACAAAGCATCTTTTACTATTCAACAAAGATAAAAAAGATTTCTCGTTAGAAGTAGGAACTTTGAGTCCACCTTGTTGTTGTGAGATCTATAGATACATTAGTTGATGTTGTATATATATATATATATATATCAAATAGTAGAACGATCGACAAAGCGAAAAATATAACAACAATTTTCACACCAGAAAACAACAACTCCACAGCGGAACATACAGATTTACGTGGTTCGGCAAATTGTCTATGTTCACGGAGTTGCAGAGGATTTTATTACTTGAGGAAATTTACATCAGTCGATCACCTCGACTTACAAGATGAATCTCTCAATCTTCGTTACTCTCTCTCTTATTCTCTCTATGTTCTTCTCTCTTTATACCGATATTCACCGAAAAAATTTATATCGATATACATCGAAGAAGATAAACTTACAAGAGAAATAAACCCAATTTATCTTCTGCCACAAGCCACCAAGAAGAAGCCTAGGGAGAACAATCTTCTTCTTCTTCCTTCTTCCTTCTGTCACAAGGAACTACCGCTTGCACTTCTTTTTCTCTGCCCGAGGAAACTTTCCTCTATCCCGAGGAAACCGAAGAAGAACACACTGTGACTTCTCTTAAACTGAAAGGAGAGCCGTACGATACCTTTTATCGCGAGAGAGGAGGCGGGGTTGGCTACGTTTTGCGAATAGAAACGCAAAAAATGGAAGCGGGAGCGACGATTTTCGCAAAACCGCAGGGTCGCGGCCGTGACCTTTCGCGATCGGGCCCGGGAACGGGTAGCAGGCGTGGGATCGGGAAAAATTGGGCTCTAACGCTAACAATCTCTCACTTGGAGACCGATGCACAAGCTACAACATTTCCTTCCTCGAACTGATATTTTCCACTGCCGGTGTCGCCCTTTTCTTCAAACATGAATCCTCCACTATGAATCCTTCACCTCTGCAACTCAAAGTCTTGTATTCACTCCAAAAGACTAACTGAAGTTGTACACAACCTCAGTTTCTCAAGAGTAACACTCTCAGTCAACATATCAGCAGGGTCCAAATAACCTTACACCTCCAAGCTATTTCCTGATTCACTCTTCTCTCTGCTTGCAACTCCCACTACATGGGCAATGTCCTGTCTCTACTGAAAGTCTTTTTCAATAAGTCTAGTTTTGTACCTCTTACTGTTAGTTTTAGATAAGATCCAGCTGGTCATAGCACTTTATTTTTTACTTGTTTAAATGTATGTAAAAATTCTAACTGAATGTATAAACCCAGATCCAATTGATAATCATAGAACTTGCTTGTTTTCACTCAGAATCATCGAGGATGGCTGACACTTATGGAACAAAGATTAACTCCTTAGCTATGTTTTCACCCGAGTGCCAATCAACGCATGGACAACTTTGGGTTCAAAAAGTGCAATTGCAACTACAGAGCTGTCAGGTGAAGCGACTGTCATAGAGTGAGAAATCCTCAAAAAGATTGGAGCCCCCAATAGTCAAGAGAAAACAGAGACACACTGCAGTGCATTGCCACCAGGCGCTGGCCTCTTCTTCGCAAAAGGGGGCATGCTGACATGAGCTACCACGGTGGGAGAAACCTCATGTGCACTGCTCCTCTTTTTTAGTGAGGGCACAAAATAGACACCTCAACAGGTGTGGTATTACCGAGGGTAATCAGAACTGGGTGCTCAAACGAATCGAAAGTTATGATATCCTCGAAAAGAGAGAAAATTCTAGGAGTAAAGGAAATAGTGTTCCCCTAGCAGTAGCAAACGTGATCACTTTCTCGCTCACCATTTCTATCAAGCAAAGAAGCACAACGATCAATACCAGAAAGAGTTCAAGAAGCCAGAAATTTAAAATTAACAACCTTTAACATTAAAAAAGATACTGCTAGTATCTAATAAAAATTCTTTATGCCTTTTGCTCTGAGACTTTTGTAGCTCCGCCACTACCTAAGATGGCATTTAAGATTTAATCGATGGATTAATAATATCATAATCTAATCAAATACAAAATGAGCCGTCAAAAAGCTCTTAAGCCACACATAAATTTATTCATAATGAAGACGCATGATCAGTTTTATTTGAGTTCACTGTCGATTAAAAATTAAAGATTTGCATAAAATCTTCAATATTTAGATCACTTTGAGCAAATTATAAAATGGAATATTTGTCAACAATGCTTGCGAGGTGTTGGCAGAGTTCACGTGGCTTGGACAGCATAGGCATATGATCAGCTCCTTTGATCTCTATTGTCTCTTTTACATTACCATTATTCTGAATCATCCAACGCACATAATCCTCAATGATTAGTGCATCTTCATTGCATATAATATATATCTTGTCTACAGATCCAAAGCCCTCTTTTGTAAATGGTGAACTGTTACTCAGATCTTCGCTGAATGTTGACGTAGGCCTCACCATCATGCTTGCCAGAGTCAAATCCTAGCCATTCATCACAAACTTTTGATCGGTAAATGTGTAAAACAGAGAATTTTATATTAAATTTGTATTAATTAGTATTCATTTTACCTCAAAGGAGCAGTTTTGATAAAAGTAGGTGGCAAGAACATTGGAATGGAAGCACACTGTGATTAAAGGTTCTGATCTTCCGGGAATAACGACTGGCTTCATCTCAGGTTCTATCTTTCGCTTGGAAAGCTCTTGGAGTTGCTGTAATTATATGTTTATATACATGCCAAAATTAAATAAATGTAAGAGATTCTTCTTTGAAGGATAATACCATCACTTATAATACAAATTACTATTTTTTTCTTTAAAATCATTCTAATTTATATAGAAATATGAAAAACTTCCACAAGGTTTAAGTGAAGAGAATAAGGGTCTAAGAGGAGCATTTCAGCCTGCTTTTCTCTTGTGGGATTGAAAGGAAGATTTGAAGCAAAATTCTATTAAGTTTCATTGCTTATAGAGAGGAGATCTGAGTCAGTTCTTTCTCTGTACTTTTCTAATGAAAATTTCCATTTGCTCGGTGACTTTTTCCAATATCTTTAAAAAGAAAAAAAAAAAAAAAAACAGAATCCAATACAGCATCTGATATTAATATTACCCGATCGATAACATAAAAAGGATGATGAAGAGTATCAGGCAAAAGTGCAGTGAGGAAGATAGCAGCAGCGATCTTTTCAGGAAAGGCATCCATGGCGAAAGCCAAACTGAGGCCCCCGAAGCTATGACCCACCAGAATGACTTTCTCTCCATCTGGAACTGTAGACATTAACTCCATTAACGGCCTGTTGTAATCCTCAAAGGACCGAACATCTTCAGGAATTCTTCTCGGATCAACTCCAGAAGCAGCGAGATCAATAGCTGTCACTGAATTATATCCCCGAGATCGAAGCTCAGCGACTACCTTATACCAACACCAAGCTCCATGGCTGGATCCATGAATTAAGATAACTCTTAAAGCTACTTTACTCATTTCTTCTTTTGGTTCTTTGCTTGGTAGTTTCAAGCTTGCACGTCTGTAATTTAATGGCGCCCCACTCTGGTTTACTGTATATTAATAATTAGGAAGACAAACAAACAAAAAAAAAAAAAAAGGTGACATCATGCATGATTTAATGCTTTTTCTACTGTGGAAAAATGATGTGCCAGCATTCATGAATGACCAGATTGTTCCAGAGATTTCATACTTTCCATTTATCTTAATCATGATTGTAAATAAGCATTTACCTACAAACCATCCACTTCTTGCGTATTTACAAATTTAATCAAAATTATTATAAGAGGACGAAATGAAGAGTAACACAATATTAAATTTTCACTTTATGTTTTTAATACAAAACTCAAATACATTATATCTATTAATATAAAAGGACGAAAAGAAGGCTTCGGTTCTGCGTGCGAGTTTCGAACCGGAGGAAGAAGACAAAGCAGAGTAGAGGTAGAGCAGCTTCAGAGTCGTGTCAAAGAAGGATTCACACGCACTTTAAGAAAATAAGTCAGATGCTTAATTCTTTAATTTTTTTAATATTCTATGATGCAAGAACAGGCAAATATTCGATTTAAATAATATTAAAGAAAACATATTTGTCCTAAATTAATAAATTAAAGGATTCTAAAAATAATTTTAAACGTCGATACGCTATCAATAAATTTTGATCATCTGACACGAATCTCGAGATAATATTTTGAGCAAGAAATATTCAAATCTTCATAAAAAGTCATCCAGAACTCTGATTTCAGTAAACTTATAGTCAAACTGTCCGGCTCGATGAGACGAATGAGAATAATCCAATGATATCAAGGTTAGTCAAATTCGAGTCAAATCAAGTCTAGATCAAGTGATTAAATCATTCTTGGTAGATTTTTTGATACATTTGAAAGATCAAACGAACGTCGAATTCGGCGAATTCATAGTCGAATCAAGCGTCTAGACAAGAATAATCCAACAAGTCCAATATTGCTCAATTCCGACATCGTTTAAGCACTCAAATGTCCATCAAACGCATTTGATAAGGGAAAGCTCTTCGGGCCGTCCGATCAAAATTGTTCATATTTATGTATTAATTGCACTCAGAACACTATAAATAGAGCTCCGCCCTTCATATGAGGGGAGGAGACTTGAGAGAGAACTTAAGGCTTTGAGCCTCACCTCTCACATGAGGGGAGGAGACTTGAGAGAGAACTCGAGGCTTTGAGAAAGAACTTAAGTCCAACATCATCCCTGCCACCGCAGACCGCCGCCGACCACCACCGTTCACCGCAGACCTCCGTCGATTACCGCCGATCGTCAACAACTGCCGTTGACCACCGCTAACCAGAGCCATCAGTCGAAGTTGTATCTTGAAAAATCAAGTAACTCTTTATTTCCCGTTTGTGGGACAAGGGTCCTGTAATCATCAACTTATAGTGGATTTTTTTTTTAACTGTGTCAGACCCCGTGATTTTTTCCTTTTCCGGGTTTTTCATGTAAAAACTTCTAGTGTCATCATAGGTTCATTTTCTTTCATCTGAGTGTGTGTTGAATCCTCGTGAAACTCTAAGACAATAATTCATTACTCTACTGCCGTGAATTTTCTAGCACGCATTACTTTGGCGTCGTCTATGGGAAAGTTTCAATCCCACAACTAAAGTACTTACGTAGTTTACTACATGGCCACCAGACACAATATTCGTGACAACAGAGCATCCTGCTCCAACACCCATCGTTCTAGAGAGCTGTCATGAAGCCAAGGGCAGCATGCTTCTTGACATCTCCCTACACCATTGGATGAAATTTGTTTACCATTGACTCCGCGACCTACGAGAAACATATCGCTTGGAGGAACTGGTATCGGCCCGCCTCCTCAAGAAGGAACACTTCCCCTATCAGGTCATGATGCTGAACTCTTAGATACTGCAAGTTTCACTCATCCATCCCGGACAGCTCACCCGACATCGCCACATCTTCCTGTCATTCAATATGATGTCATTCGTAACGAACTACGACACCTCGTCAGGAAGATGCCCCCATAGAGAAAAATAATTGCTTCTATACTCACCGTAACATACATGAATCCTCTCCCATAGCGGATGCAATCCTCCAACACCCCATCCCAACAGGTTTCAAGCTTCCGAACATTGATACATATGAAGGGATAACCGACCCCTACAAACATATTGATCATTATGGAACCATCATGCACATTCAACGTGTCTCTGATGCACTTCTGTGTCAAGTGTTCCCAACTACTCTTAAAGGACAAACTCGAACCTGACACTACTCTCTGTCAAGGGGCACTATAAATACCTTTAACGAGCTCGCCAGACTGTTCACGGAGCAGCTCATTACAAATGGAAGGATCATCAATGATTCATCTCATCTCTTGGGAATTGGTCAAAGTAAAGGAGAGTCACTCAAGGACTACAGCAGAGTCTCTGCTGAAGCCTGTCAGATTTCGAGAGTAGATCCAGAGTTACTAAGAGGAGTCTTCCTTGGGGGCTCCGCCCAAGACCCTTCTACTCGGCATTGATGCTGGAAACAATTTGTTCTTATGCTGACCTTGTTCACCATGTTGAGGCACAAATCTATGTAGATGAGACCATCATTGCTCACAAGGAACAATTCGAGCGATTAGAGGGAAAACACAAGAATAACGCTAGTGATACCAATCAAATCTCACAATGAAAAAAGTTTAGACCGCAGAGGAATCGTGAGTAACGATCAAAAAAAGAAGACACACCACTCAACACGTCACGTGTTAACATCTTAATGACAATCAATGATGAAGAGACTCTCAAGTGGGCGAAGCCGTTAAGAAATCCAGATGGTGGAGATAAGTCTTAATATTGTCATTTCCATCGAGCAAAAAGACATCCAACAGAAAGATGCTTTCAATTAAAGGAAGAAATTGAACGTCTAATATGTCAAGGTCACTTAGGTCGCTACTTACAAGAACAATGTGAGGGGAACCAGAAGAGAATCGTTAGAGTCATCGAATGAGAAGTATAGCTCCAACTCATCTTATATGAGTAAAAGAATGACTTATAAACTCTTAATTTTATTTTAGCAAAATTTTTATGTTGCTTTAAAATGTAATTTCATTGAAATTTTCTTATTTTCTCATGAAAGATTTTTGTGTAGAAAGCCCCCTTGAGGATGAGAAGCTACTATGCCCCTAAAAGTCAAGCCTAAGAGGCAAGACTCAAAGGGAAGATACGGTGGTACTCCTAAAAGTCAAGTCCAAGCGACAAGACTCAATGAGAAGCTACCATGCTTCTGGAAGACGAGCCCAAGAGGCAAGTCTTGATGAGAAGTTAGTAGTGGATAGGGTCCTCACTAGAAAGACTTCATGAGAGCAATTGGTTGACATGGTCTCCACTCAAAGACCTCATAAGGCTACAAGCCTCAAAAGACACATGTACAGTCAAAATGATCCCATATCTTTCATAGTTTAGATGAAAGAGCACTACACCTTGAGCTATGTATCTATCCCGAAAGATAAACACAAGAATTAAGGGTGAGACTAGATCAAATAAACTAAGAAATATATGACATCCGTTTGGTCTACGAAATCATTTTATAAGCCGACAAGTTCACCTATTTAATATGAAAAATTAAATATGATTTATATTAAGCTGGGTTCGGAAAAGCTCCTATAAGTGAAAACCCCTATAATTAATTACATCTTAGATAACTGAAGTCACTTAAGAAAACTTTCGATAAAAATCAGGGGATATTGTTTTCAAGAATTTTAAAGGGAAAGGACTTTCAAGGAGATCAGATAAAGAGGTGTGAAAGGGGAATGACTCAAATTTAGAACATTTTATTTTTGAATCCAAATGAAGAAAAACTAGGGGACGTCATAGATCCTGAGGAGAACCCAGTGACTTCTCAAACTATCCTATTGTTTGGCTTCAGTTTTGGAGAATATAACTATTGAGTGTTTCATCCTGCTAATTTTATTCTGCTAATTTTATTAATTAGGGCTATTAATTAGGGCTTACATTCGTGTGAAACGATCACACCAATAGTCTGAAAGATGAGAGATTTTAAGTCGTGATGAACAACAATCTCATAATCCTGAAGCTAGTTAGAGCTTAAATTACATAGTAGGGCTATCCAAAGGCCTAAAGATAAGTTGAGGATTTATGTTGCATAACCAAACAACCACAAAATTTTATGGCTTGTTGTTTAATTCAAAATAATGGTTTAGCTGGTGTAGACATGTTTTGTTGTTGAAGCTAGTCGTGCTGTCCACAATGCTAGCTCCAAGCTCCTCGTCGTAGCAAGTTTAGATTTTCTAACGTGTCAAGTTTTGATGTCAAATCAAATGTTTCATATGGTTTGATTATTTAAATATTATGGGGGATGTCAAAGTTGATTAAAGAGACACTGATTAGGATCATAAGGTTCTCTCGTTTTGACACCACTATTTTCTTTCGGATTCACTTAGTCCAAATGAATTTACTAAACTCAACTCAATGAGTTTCATACTTTCATTTAAACCATAAGAAATCTCGTTAGCAACCGTAGGTTACCTCCTCCGAGGGATTCTCGATCATCCGATAGAGATATTTTAAATTAGTTGCAATTTCTGTTTTGTTTTGTTTGTGATTAAATTTTGAGTTGTCTTATATTTTGACTATTGTGGTGGTGGATTTTATGTTGTTTTGATTTTAGTTTTTGTTTCAGTTTTGTGGGCTATCCTAAAGGTTTCAGTTTTGACATGTAGAGTGATATTGTTATTTATCATGCAAGTTTATAAGCATGAAAAAAGTATAGTAAAAAAAGTACAGGAAAAGAAGGTACTATAAACTATGAAAGCGTACATGTCGAGTTTTCTTGTTCCTTTGCCTGAAACTTTAGTATCTTTTGTAGTAAACATTTATAATTTACAGAAAAGTAAAGCTTATGGATAGGTTCGTCACAGACCTACCGAATCCTATGCCGCAACTTGGTGGGTCCTTTTTATTTAAGTGCATAGATGATTTCTCAGGCAAGACATAATGGGTTTAATTGTTCTTCAAGATATCCAAAAGAATATGAGAAAGATCTAGAGA